GCGAGCTTAGCTGCATTTTTTTCTGACCTCCAGGTAGAGTTTGCTGCTTAGATGTTCCCCCCCTACTGCTGTAAATTGCTTACACCATCCTAGCTATCACAGGACAGTAAAATGAATTCAGTTGCACACAAAGTTGTGCTATTTCCATGGGTATTCAGGGTACATTTGTTTTCGTCATTTTCTTCAAATTCCAACCTAGGGCTGAGCAATGAAATGGAGCTAAGTTTTATAGAGGGGTGGGACACAAGAGAGCTTTTCTTGACTTAGCAGCCCAAAACTGAAAGGCAGACTGAATGAATCTGGAGACCATAAAATGCAAAACCTTAAAACAGCCTTTAATTAATTGCTGGGGTTTTGTTCAATTTACCCTGCATTAAACCTGCAGACACATGGCTATGTGAAATTTGTTGTGCTCCCTAATTAGGTTTCTTGAAGGTCAGATGTTCCCATTACAGATACTATCATCACAATTGTTGCTAACTGGACATCTTTCAACAGAAAGATCAGTGGGCTATGGAAACTGAAGCTCTAGAGGTTGGAGTGGAGATGAGTGTTGGGTGGGCAAAAAAATAACCTATGATCATTGTTTAATCAACTGCCAAAAAAGAGTCACAGTGTCATGTCTGATTTCCCTCTTATATAGCAGCTGCCTGTATGGTATTTATGAAGATAGACCTTTTTCCCCACCCCTGAAATTCTCTGCTTTGTAAAATGCTTCTGGAACTGAAGAAGGACAGTAGTTAGTTGTGTCAGTCTGAAGTAAGGCAGAAGGTGGCGCAGGGTAGCAGCTTAAAGGCAAACTGTTTCAGAAAGGAATGAGCTTTCACAGGCAACAGCCTACTTCATGAAATGCAATGAATGGACTGGTAGAAAGAAAAAATTATATATAGGAGGGATGGGGTGGGAAAACGCTGCTAAGAGGGAATAAATGTGTTGATTGGGTCCATTGAGATGAACAAATTAGTTAACAGCCAATTCAGGTCATGGAAGCCATAGGACTGAGATATCCACTGATGTCCATCCACTGATCTGTGGATGATTTCTTGCTCTACAATTTCATATTCAAGTTGGGTTTTAATTTTTTTTTCATTTAAGGACAGATACTCCAAATCCATGACAGAACATTCAGGGAGGTCCAAGTGTTCTGCCACAGGCTTTTGTATGTTTCTGGAATTGGCATCCATTTGTGTTGGATTGGCATTCATTCATTTTTTTACATATGGTTCCATCTGGCCCATGTAGATAGCAGAGGAGCACTGTAAGATGCTTACAGCATATAGGATGTTGGTGGAACAGAAGGTGAATGAATCCCAGGTGTTATAATTTGTGGTGCTTGGTCCAGCACTGACATGGTCCATGTTGATGAAGGGGGAACATCTGGAATCTGGGTCTGTAGAAAGGCTGGGTGACTTGGTGAGACTTATCAGAGAAATGTTGTTTGGAGTTGGGGTGCTGCCTACACAGGACAGGGTTGTAGAACCAGACCAGGGCCACTCTGGATTGGGTCCACAGACCAGGCCCCGAACCAGCCCTGTGCACTGTGCTCTGCATGCAGGGCCAGGACTGGCGTATGCTGCATGCAGCGCACAGGGCCAGTCTGGGTCTTATACTGCATGCAGCGCCTATATTGAACCAGTCCTGTGCGCTGGATCTGGCACGCAGGGCTGGTCTGTGGGCCTGATCTGATCTATGGGGCTAGTTGATTTTGACACTCCTGAGCTCCATGATGCATGTGTTTAATGTAGTTATATCATCTTCAGGACTATAGTATGAGAGTGTTTCAAACTGTTTTTTTGTATTTATCCTCCATCAGTCCTGAGGGAAAGCCAGGGGGCTGTTGGTTTGGAGTGAGGGGCAATGGCATGGGCAGGGCACCAGCATATCAGGGTTGCTCAGTGCCACAAAGTGTGTGTGGGGTGGGGGCGGGACAGCCACAGCTGGATCTGTGTCCTGGTGAGTGAAGGGGGCTGGGGCAGCTCTGTTTTTCCATGATAAAACCCAAAATCAAATGCCAAAATGTATAGGTATTTAGAATTTATTTTATTATATTGATTGAGGCACTGGAAGGCTTCCAAATTGCTTTAAAATTGTAACTATATCAATAAAACATTGTGTTCAACTAATACCTATATATATAATGGTGTTTCATTTTAATCACGGAAAAAACATGGATTTTGGGGGTTTTGATCAGAGAATTTGCAATTTTTTAAACAGAGAAAACCATGATTCCTGGTTACTAGTGATAGTAACTAATAAATAGCATTGTCCTTCCTGGACAATTATGTTAAGATCCCATGTTAAGATAACCCCCAGGGTAAATCCATGAAACAGGTAAAGTAAGAAAACTATAGGTGCAGACAGAAGTGACAATATTCGCCTGGTCTGGCCCCTGGAAGTGCTCTATAGCCATGACCAAACACAAGTGCAGAGCACTTTAAAAGTGATCACCTTCATTGCCTGAGGGTACAGATGAAGATGCTCCAAAATGGAGCATCCTCAATAACTTCTGTTTGCATATACTGGGAACAGGGATGAGCTGATGCAACTCATTCCAGCTGCTGGCACTGTCTTCAGAATGGGAGTGGGAAAGGGACTAGAGGAAGTTTGCCCCCTGCCCCCCAGGTGGTTGCCCTCCCACTCCAGCGTGGCTGGGAAAACTCCAGAATATACCTCCCTTCCCTGTCTTCTCCTGCCTCCCATCCTCTCCAGGTTCACTGATGATACCAAGTTATGGGGCAGAGTTAGTACACTGGAGGGCAGGGAGCAGATTCAGGCCGACCTGGACAGGTTGGATCAATGGGCAGAGAGAAATAGGATGCAATTTAATAAAGATAAATGTAAGGTACTCCACCTGGGAAGGAGGAATCCCCAGCACACCTATAGCTTGGGGAATGTCCTTCTCAACAGCTCGGAGACAGAAAGGGATCTTGGAGTCATAACTGACTCCAAGATGAACATGAGCCAGCAGTGTAACGAGGCCATCAACAAGGCCAATTGCACCTTGTCATGCATTAGCAGGTGCATGACTAATAGATCAAAGGAGGTGATGCTCCCGCTCTATGCGGCACTGGTCAGGCTGCAGTTGGAGTATTGTGTCCAGTTTTGGGCACCACACTTCAAGAGGGATGCAGAGAATCTGGAGAGGGTCAAGAGGAGGGCCACTTGCATGATTAGTGGCCTTGGTGATAGACCCTACGGGGGGAGGTTGAGAGACCTGAATCTCTTCAGCCTTCACAAGAGATGGCTATGGGGAGATCTTGTGGCTACCTATAAATGTATTAGGGGAGGCCAACAGGGAGTAGGGGATGCTCTGCTTACTAAGGCGCCCCAGGGAGTGACTAGGAATAATGGGTGTAAACTAGTTGAGAGTGGATTTAGGTTAGATATTAGAAAGAAACTTTTCACAGTAAAAGTGGCCAGGACCTGGAATGGGCTTCCAAGAGAAGTGGTGCTATCACCTAGCTTGGAGGTCTTCAAGAAGAGGCTAGATAGTCACCTGGCTGGGGTCATCTGACCTCAGTCATCTTTCCTGCCAGGGGCAGGAGGTCGGACACGATGATCCATTGTGGTCCCTTCCAACTCTACAATCTATGAATCTATGAATCCTGAGAGAGCACCGGAGCTTGGAGGGGTGCAGGGCTAGGGAACTGATGCTGCAGAGATGCAGCCTCTTTCGATGGTTTGTCTCCAAATTAGAGCTGATCACCCATCCTACCTGACCAAACAGCTAACATCTGTTGGGTCGGGAGGACTGGTCTAACTCATGGCACTTTCCGTAAAGTGCCATGTGTAAGACAAGGGAGCTGCATTTCTGTCTGTGGCTTATAAACAGGACTAAGAGTAGGTGAAAGATTGCTGGAATAAGTAGATTTTTAAGAAAAGGTACTTGGATAGTGCAGGATAGAGACTTCTCCAATCTGGGACAGCCTGAGTGTATGTGCTTTATCACAAGAACTGGAAGGAGCTGAAGGAAGCAATACAAAGAGAGAAGGTTAGAAAATGAATAGGAATGAGAACAGAGAAAGCATTTCACAGTTTTGTAAAGGGAGGGGACTCAGCTAAAATGTGGTTCCTATTTTGATTCATATGCTCAAAGGAAACCAATGAACACTTAAGTCTCAGTGCCTGGGGCACAGGAAGCTATATAAAATCCCAAGCTAGTATCAGAATGAGTGAGCTTCCAAACTGCAAGTATGATTAAAAATCAAATGTTCTCTTCGCATCCACCTGTCTCATGGAGTGTCTTAAAAGGCAAGGAGGTGTCATTATCCACTTCTGCAAATGCAGAAACAGAGGCCCAAAAAGTACCACAATTTGCATGAGGTCACAGGGTAGTACATGGCAAGAGTGAAAGCAGAACCTGAATTCCAGCAGCCAGTGTGATTCACCAGACTGTACAGGCCTCAATAAAAGGAGAGAGACAGCATGTTAAAATGTCTTTCACTGATGGTAATTTTTGCTTCCTAGGTTGGGCTGCGGGGCCTGAAGTTTGGAAAACTTGGCCAAGGGTAGATCCTGGAAGATGTAGAGACCAACCACATAGGAGACCTTATAACAGGGGTGGGCAAAATGTGGCCATGGGCCAGATGTGGCCCGCCAGGCCATTCTATCTGGCCCGCAGGGCCCCTAAAAAATTTAGAAAATTATTATTTATCTGCCCCTGGCTGCCTGTGATGCAGCCCTCGGTGGCTTGCCAAAACTCAGTAAGCGGCCCTCTGCCCAAAATAGTTGCCAGCCCCTGCCCTATAATGTCTAGTGTGCAGATTTGTCCTCTTATTAAGAAGACAGTCCCACTTTTAAGTATGTTAACCTTTTTTCTTTCCTCCTCCTGTCTTCTGACCCGCAACATGATGGATGCTTAATGCCAAGAGGCCCGAGGGCTATGGGAAGCAGCATGCCCCAGAATCACTCGGGGTAAACATTCTCTTCTTGCTTTCTTCCTGTGCCCAGAAATCCACTAACCATCTTCTTTGTGGCTTTTCTGGACTCTGTCTCCACAGAAAAACTTCCTTCCAGTTTTTACTGTTCGTTTGAAGAAGGCGACTGTGGCTGGACACAGGGCTCTTCTGCTTCTCACATTCCTCCATGGCAGATTGGGAACCCGGAGTACAGCCGCTTTCCTTCACTAGAAGGTATGGGACACAGCAGTCTCAATATGGGCAGGTGGGGTACTTTTTCAGTGTTCAGCCAAGAAGTCACAGGTGCCTTGTTTTCACACATTACTTCATAGTCGGCCATCAGTACAGCTAAACCCTCCTTTCCTCTAAGATGGATCCTTCACCCTTCTGAATTGCCTCTTCTCTTTGTGCAGATCCTGACTCTGCTCCCTTTTGCCCCTGGCTATTCCTTGCTTTACTTCCCACCGCTCAGTTCCCTTTTAGACCCATCATTTCATATTCCATTCCTTCATGCACACTGTGTCCTGACCCTCTGCCCCTCCTAATCCCTGATAGCCCCACCAACTTTTCTTGTACAAACCCCTGGTTTTTAAACAGTTTATGTCTCAGGCACTGAGCTACCATGGGGCTGAAATATGGCAGACTACCTGCTTCCAAGAATGTTTTCCCTAATACAGTAACATAAATCAGATGAGACATTTATTGCTTAAGTGCAGAGCAGCTAAAGGAATACAGCAATAATAGAGCACTGCATCTGCCATAAACACTGTATCCCAAGAATGTTTACAAAGTGAAATGATACATAGTGAGGCAGCAAGGGTCAGCTGCTCCACAGGTGTAAATTGGTGGAGATTCATGGACTGCAGTGGAGCTACACTGATTTATGCCAGCAGATGATCTGACCAACAATATTGCAGAACAAAGAGAAATTGAGCCAAAGGGAAGGAAGGAAGGAAGGGAAGATCATGAAAGGGCACAGTGGGTAACTGACAGAAAAATGTACCACTTCATGATTTATCTAGGGGTCATAAAATGAAACTAGGCCTGTGCGAAGCGGCTAGTATTTGCTTCGGATTTGGATTTGGCCGATTCGGGGACAGTGATTTGATTTGGATATTCAGATCGGTATCCCGATTCGATTCGGCCAAATCTGATTCAGAGATTTGGCTGCTGAATCTCCAGATCTCTGAATCAGCCAGGGCAGGCCCATGCTCCGCCCACTCTCCCAGCCTAGCAATGGCTGCCCCGCCCGCCCGCCCCACCTCCCGGCACTTGGAAAAAGAAAAGCCCCGATCCACTGCTGGGTGGTGGGCGATCCCCATTGCCCCATGCTGCATGGGGGGCTCTGTGTGAGCCCCCTGACTCCTCCCCCAGCCCCCCCCACCAATGGTGCTTTGCCAGCTCTGGCCCTTTAAGAAAAAAAAAACAAAAACAAAAACCCTAGACTCACCATTCCTGCCAGCTGGGGGCGATCCCCACTGCCTCACACCACATGGGGGGTTCTGCACGAGCCCCCAAAGCCCCGAGGCCACTGCAGGAGCGGTGAGTCCTGGGGGTTTTCTTGTTTGCTTTTTTCCTTAAAGGGCCAGAGCTGGCACATGCAGGGCACCCATGGTGGGGTTGGGGGAGCAGCGGGGAGCCCCTGGGCTCATGGCAGAGCCCCCCAAGCAGCATGGGGTAGTGGGGGGCAGTGGGGATCACCCCCCGTTCCCCCCTGCCCGGCAGCACCTGGTGAGCAGAGGGGCTTTTTTTTTTTAAGTACCGAGCTGGGGCGGGTGAGGCAGCCATTGAGGGGCTCAGGGAGTGGGGAGGGCTAGGGGGGCTGGCAGGGGTCCCCCTATGGTCCCCTCCCCCAGCTCCCCTCTCCTCCAGTTCCCTGGTCCCTCACCCCTAGTACTTACCAGCTTGGAGTCAGCTACAGCTCTCTGCTGCAGCCACTGCGGACTGCCCAAATCATCAAAGCTATCCAAATCTTTTCTGAAGATCCAGAGAGCTTTGAATCGATTTGGACCTTTGAATTTGCCCCTGATTCGATTCGGATTCAGAGATTCGGCCACCGAATCAGGCCAAATCTCCTCCTAATCGAATCACCACCTGAACCTTCTCACAGCCCTAGTAGTAAGTTTAAAACTAACAAAAGGATGTTCTTTTTCACACATGGTGTGTAATTGAAGTGTGGAACTGGTTGCCACCAGATGTTATGGAAGATAACAGTTCAGCGAGATTCAAAAAAGGATTGAACAACACCCAGCAACTCAAAAGGGACTGAACAAATTCTAGGAGGAAAGGTGCATCAGTAGCTACTGAGCATGGGAGTTAGGGATACAACCTCTGAACTAGAACTTGCTAGACCTTAAATCCTGGAGGCTGCAAGTAGGGGAAGAACAGTACAGTGGAAAAAAAACCAAAACCCTGTTGATACCCAATCCACTCTTCCTTTCAACCTCCACTCATTACCACTGTTCAAGCTAGGTACAGACATTCAACAAGCCCGAGCCTGAATTGATTCCATCTTTGCAGGCTAGTCTAACTTGCAGAGCTTGAACCAATTTGCAATTGGATAGACATTAACTTTTGAATCAAGAAACACAGGCTTATGCCTGCAGTGGCTCAGGCTAGAAGCCAGGGGGTACTGGAGCAGCCTTCCCTTCCCTTCCACAATGCTGAGCTGAGGGGGACGTGGCCAGGCCCTGGCAGAGTGCTCCGATTAGGAAGGGGTTTAAACCTCCACCCCAACCTGCACAGTCCCCAGCTGGGGTGTGCCTGGAGTGGGAGGGAGAAGCAGCCCTTGCCCAGCTTTTCCTTGCTCACTGCTAAAGGGGCACGAAGTGTTACCAGACCCCAGGCCACAGCTAGCACTCTGACGCAAAGGGAGGGTGGAGAGGGAGGACTGCTTGTGTGGAGTGCATGCATCTGTTAATGATACTGAGCTTTTCAATCTCCCTCTCCCTGCTTCTTCATACTGTCTGCAGCAAACTGACAGGCAAGGGAGCCAGCAGAGAGTTGATAACACAAAGTTTATCAGCCCATCAAGAAAACAAATGTTTCTCTTATTAGATCAAGCTCTTCTTAAACAGCTTTTTCCAAGGAAGGAATGGAAGGACATTACCAGCTTACCTGTTGATTAGGTCCCAAAAGTCTTAAGCAGACACTGTTCTGTCTGCCTTTGTCCCAGTGAAATTGGAGACACACACACACAGATACCTCTCAGCATTAACTAGCATGGGGGTGGCCGTGACCAGTTGCTGGCTAGGGTCTGTACCC